TCCAACACACAGCCTTGGTCCAGATGGTGTACCAGGCATTCTTCTTCAAAAGTGTGCAGACATCTTGTGTCATCCTCTTACTCAAATCTTTAATGCATCATTCAACAAGGAAACGGTACCTGCTGACTGGAAAGAAATCAAGGTTGTACCTTTACAGAAATCATCTTCTGGAGCAGGTATAAAGTTTAGACCGGTCGCTATAACATCTCCTTTTTTGAAAACTATGGAGAAACTTCTTTTGAACATTCTTAAACCTTCTTTAAAAGCTTTTAGTGATCCTAAGCAGTTTGCTTATAAGTGTGGAAGAAGTACATTAGATGCAGCCGTTGTACTACACCACAATATTGTTTCCTGCCTTGATAAGGGTGCTAAGTTCGTTCGAACAACTTTTTTAGACTATACTGCAGCTTTCGACTCTGTTCCTAGGACACTTTTATTAGGAAAGATGATTTCAGCACAGACAGAGTCCTGGGCAACTAGATGGCTGTCTTCTTATTTTAAGGATAGGAAACAGCATACTGTTTTGGCTGGAAAGCGCTCCACTTCTCAGCTAACTGAAAGTGGTGTGCCTCAAGGTGCAGTACTTTCTCCATTTCTTTCCTCTTTCTTTTTGCATAACCTTCCGAACTCACCCAAAGTTAACTTCATTAAGTATGCTGATGATCTGACCGTTTCTATCCCTGTAGTTTCCACATCGGATTGTTCCCATATGAATGGCTTCTTAGCTGAAGTTAAGGATTGGTCTGGCTCAAATGGTCTTAAACTAAATCCAACTAAATGTTATACTGTTGGTTTCAGCTTGAAAAGTGAAAAAGACATGCATGGAATGATCCAATCTCATGATTGTTGTAATATTGATGGTAACATGATAGAGAGTAAGTCAAGTGTTTCTTATCTTGGCATTAGTTTCTCTTCAAACCTTTGCTGGTCGTCTCATATTCTTATAGTTTCTAAAAAGATTTTCTGTCTGACTTACTACATAAAGAAGTTGAGGCACTCAGGTATAACCCAATCTCTTCTCATACAATTTATTAATTCATGTGTTTTGCCCATCATTCTTTATTGTTCTCCATTATTCTTTCCTGAGCTACTCAAGAAAGACCATATAATACTACGAAGAACATTGAGGGCTGTAAGTAGGGTCAGTGCTATCCCTTTGACTCAACTAATTGACACTGTTGTCAATAGGCACATGAATTCTTGTAAACACTTAACTAAAGTCATTTTGTCTGATAGTGAACATCCTCTTTATTCACAATTGTTTCCTTGTATCTCTTCGGGTAAGACCAGAAGAAATTTCATAAACATTTATGCTCGTACTACAAAATATAAAAATTCGACCGTACCATATTTGGCACGAGTATTGTGTGAAGAGACAAATATCAGAAAAGAACTTTTACAACTTTTAAATCAATAACTAAACTATAAAATGTTATGATGCATATTATTGCATGTGTGATTTGTTATATTATTTATTTATTATTTCACTATGACCTAGAAATGGTGTGATTTTGTTGGGGTTTTTATTTTTTTCCTATTAATTATCAATATTTTTAACATTTCATACATTTATATAATTATAAAAAGAGCTAAACCAATGCAATATGTAAAATGAAACGCTGAAAATTCCATGCTGTAAATTGTTATTGTTATGGAATAAAGTGATTATTATTATTATTGCAATATTTATTTCACAAGCATTCGTCTTACATGCATACAAACTTCACATATTGATTGCTTACTGAGTAGTAAACAGTATTACGTGTTCAACTCCTAGCGGTACTGAATGAATTCTCTCAATCGATTTGAAACGTGACCGCTATACAACATCACTTAAACGAGGGCATCGCAGTGGTGCACCTTCTAGATTGGAGACCTAACTGTTGCAGTTACGTCAGCACCACTGAGAAATAGACACGTGACACATGAATCAATGTAACCATTACAGTCCTACCATTGCTCGGCTGTAGATGCAAACAGCTCGCTACTAACGTTTTTGACAGATTTCTTGATTGGTGCTGGCTAGGATCACCGTAAATTCATCGGTTCTTTCAAATTTGTGGATTTATATTGCCGATGACTACAGATAAGATAACTAGATACAGAGAATCCTAGCGACTGTCTCCATCCATCTCACATAAGGACTTCCAGAAATAACAAAGTGTGCTATACTTCTTGGCTGCATGATTTAAGAAGTTCTTTAATTAATATTCAAAATTTGACTTATGAAATCTTCTCACTCAGTTTCTGATAAATTAAAATGTTGAATTTCATATTCACTGATGGCTTTCTCTATTCTGTTCATGTCAATGTCAAAAACAAAGTTTGCTTATAATACAACAAACTTTGTGAAGAAATTAAATTTCTTTTAAATGTCCATTTAAAAATTCTCTTGAAACGAAAAGGTGATAAATTCATATGCATCATGTCATTGATACAGATAGACGGATCTGATAACTTGTTGAATTCAGTAAATACAGACGTCGTACAAGTGAGAGGAAATAGCTCCGAATAGTTTCCACTTTTGCTTACTGCTTAAATTAGGCATATAAGATCTTGAAAAAGAAACTAGAACTATGGAATTTGACATAGAAATGAAAACTTTACCATTATATTTATTGAATAACTGAATGAACATATAATATACAACTTACCGAGTGATTCACTCGCCTCACTTGTCAATCTACTTATCTATTTCTTTGTATATATTAAAACCCTCTCTAATAGACTAGCGACATAAGACATATTTATAAACTATTCAAGTGAATATGATTATTAGCGAACTGGAATTCGGATAGATTCACTTCGGGTTTGAATAACTTGGCAACGTGTTTTATACTGTCAACTACATATTCGGTTAGCTTATCGAGTTTAAAAGTTATGTTTGTACGAGTTACCGGAAGCACTTCTACTTTCCATTGTTACTTTTGATTACACGAATTGAAATTTATTATAAAATTAGATAAGTTTAGATTCAAAAATGTTGTAAGTAAACAGCATTCTTTGGGTTATAATGAAGTTATTCAAATTTCTAAAAACTAACATTTGAAAATCAATCCTATGCTCACTGATTACTCGCTAAGGGATTCAATTCTTACAGTGCGATCCATCAAGTGGGTTGTCAGAACAGACAATAACTAGATGTGGCACTACAAATCATGAGTTGGCAGGATTTAGAATTTGTGGGCCAGCGGTTGTACGGTTACGTGCTTACATCGTAACCTGAAGGTCCTAGGTTTGGTCCCCGATGGGGTCAAAAACATGCTTTGCCGATGAGTGGTAAACTAATACGACACAACTGTCGACTGCTGGCTGGTTCTCAGTGGTTCTCTTTCCAACGCTGGTACGTGAAAAGACCAACCTTAAAATCAATAAAACCCGGGCAAACTGACACTTTAGAGTTATTCATAATTTGAGTTGAATAGAATTTACAGGAATAAGCGATTTAAAAAATATTTTTACCCCTACAACCATCACAGACCCCTTCGAATCTCCTTCTACTTTGAATTGATGACCATTAGCTGAATTACAGCTGAGAAATAAGTACTCCTTCCTCAAGAATCAAACAAGTCGGAATACTGTCCCTCACCCCTTGCATAAGTGGATTCTATCAGCGAACTAACTTTACTTTCTAACACAACACGGAATTACATAAAATATTTCCTAAGTCTGATTTGTAGTATTCTGAAATGCAAATCTCATCCGTGAACCTGTTCATATTGATAAAACAACAATTAAATTAAATTGTCTATTTAATAAATTGCTATTGACAATAGTTTGATGTTCTGAAAGCCTTCATATCTTACTATGAATGCGTACCACAAGATCATGGCGGGGGGTTTAATCACCCACCTGTTGCATAATGATTAGATATACAAATTCACGAGACAAAAAACTTTGTGTTTCTTCACATACATTGTCATCATAGCCATATATCCTGTAATAAGCCCTGTCTTTTTACCGTGACACAAGACTTATTTCACAATGCAATTCTTTTCATCAGGCTCAAACACACAAACAACAAACGATTGCAGAAATGAATGAGTAGACGAATATTCTCACACACTTGAAGTTGACATTTACATGGCAGACTAAAAATACACAACCCATCCAGTTAGAAATGAGACTGTATTTTCACTTTTGAATATTTGTTTCTATCAGGTGATTATCCTCACTAAAACAACGTGCATTCTCAGGATTTAATTTTTCTAATCTTATGTAATTCATCTATTTAATATGCCTTTATGAATCGTACTCATATACACATAGTCATTTTAAACGACAATTATTGGTGAAATATTCAGGTCTACAATCAAATCTCTTTTTTGTTATAAAAATGTGCTCTATTAGTCAGCTAATATTGTTTCTCTGAAGTTCGAAATCACTGAGTATTATGAGTTTTCGATGAGTGGATAAATTATACTTCATAGATAATACATATCGCGACACATTTCTCCTCAGAATATGTTGGATTTCCATCATAATGAAGTGATACACAGTCTAGAATAATGTAAGAATTAATGTGGGAGAAATCAATGGTGAACTGATTTCCAGTAAAAATACCGGTACTTAATGACAACCAACGGTAGAATGCTTGCCAACCACACATGTGTTTCAGAGTTCGACCCCCGGCCGACGCACTCCTGAACCTCTCTAAGCCAGTAATAAGATTGGTAAAGAGGGAAGGTTGGACATGAGACTAGCAACCCTATCCCTTAAAAAATAAACACCACAGCTACCGAAACTTCAAAGCTCTAGCTTGAAGCCTTCTGTCCCACTGGGAACGTAAAGGAATATAATAGTAATGATAATATTAATATAAATAATAAAAATAATATCATAAAGTCATACATAGCCAAATAGCTGAAAGCAACACCACATTATAAAAGTATAAAACAACATACACCAAATGAGTGGTACTAATTGTTTTTCAAGAATTACTCAAGTTAATCATTGTATGAAATAGAAGATACATGAACAGTTGAGGCTTACTATAAGGATTCATATACTTTAATACATACTCAAATCTAGGTCACTAGTAATCCTAACAGCTGTAAAATTCACAGTATTACTAAATCGAATTTACGCTTGGTTTGTCTTTTGTTCACGCAGCAATCAAATATCTTGTCTGAATATGTCAGCTACCATTTAGAACAAAATACAAAGTTCACAGGAGATAATACCGTTGGAAATAGTCTCTCTTGTATCACATAAAACTCAACTAAGCTTGATTTTCAATCGCCAAAAGTTCACAAGTTCTATTCCAAAACCATTTTCTTTCCTCTTTATTTTTAACTGTAGACGATGGTTTTTTAAGATCACAATCTGAATAGTACCCACCGGATGTTAACTTATCCGATAAGACAGTGTATAACGTGGTTTGTGCACCTTACCATGAATCGATGAAAAACGGTCACACTAGTGTAACAAACATTTTCTGTAAAAAGAAGAAGAAATACGAAAATTAGCGGCAAATTAAAAGCTCTATGAGAAGTATCCTGTTTGAAACAGACTTACAAAGAAAAATGCAACTGTAACATTTTCGGTTCTGTTGCATTTGACTAAGAACGACATCAAATGTGAAATCACTTGGTGTATTTCGATAAGCTACAGTTGATCTAATGAACAAAAATTCACTGATTAACTTCCCTATCCATCTAACCGTATAACTTTCTAATACTTTTACCCTATCCCACCCTAGTGGACGATTACATGTAAGTGAATAGAGAATTACTGATCCCTTCTTTGTTACTCCTTTCAATGAAAAAAATTCATTTCACTACTCAGTGTGTGTTTCATCACCAACCGATATCCTTAGTAAGAGAATCATTGAAAAAGTATGCAGCACTGAGCAGCTATGTCGTCCTAGCTTGGCACTGTTCGGCAGTTTTACCGACAATCCTACCAAGGAACAAACAATGGACCTTCAGATCACAAGGCAAACGCCTTGACCACTCAGCTAGTCGGATGGGATCCAATGATCAACTCTAAATTCTCTCAGCTCGTCACATATCTCCACCGCCACCGAATTTGACTGATGGACATCAGCCTCATACTTGATGTGGTAAAGTCCAGTTGCCATTTGTGAGCAGGAGAATAGTAAAAGGATTTTTTAAGGGAATCTATGGATGAAGAAATTCACAGTGGAATTAACCAAAATGTCCACCAACCAAAAGCCTTTGCTTCCTGTGTTAGTGGCCTTTTGATCTACTTCAAAAAATCAATACCTCATTTGTCTATCTAATGAAACGCAGAATGATAAAGTATGAATTACTGAATGGATGTTACATAAGCGTAATCTATTTATTTGGAGTAAATAGTTTAACGCACATCTAATAGGTATAAACTAAATGATCTTTCATATGTTCTATTCTTTTCACTAACAACAGGAATAGACGGGCATACCGGCATAGAAATACTCACGATGCCTGTGACCACTGCTTAGCGGACAGCAACCAGTTTCAAACGCAGTTTAATCAGAAGCTTAGTACACAGAGTCTGATCAGTTTTTTGTATTGAAAGGGAAATAAATGTGGATATCTTCACACCTACAGGAAACTTAAAATACGTATTTTATTAACTGAGATTTATCTCATTTTTAACCACATTTGGATGTGTACTTGTAGCATTCTTGACTATTATGATACTGACAACAGGTTGCTGTATCTGTGATGACCTGAAAAAGATGCGATGAAAAGTGTATTCTCCATTCATCCCCAACAAAATGTTTATGACAGTTTTAATCTCACTTGTTTCAAGGTAAAAAGAAGGCTCAATGACAACGAAATATTGTGAGTAGTGGAGATAAAATGAAAATTTTTAAAAAATATTGAAACAAACTGATCTTCACTTATCTGGGAAGCCTGAGATCAAAAGCGCAGTTATACCGTGTTTCATGCTGACAAAGTTCTAAAATACTCCTAGTCTGTAAATCCGTGACATAACTTATATTCAAAATTCATCTTCCGAAATAATATTATATAATGAAATTCCATTATGATTCACTTTGAGAATAATTGTTATAGACAAATACATATAAGGGGCATTTCACTGTGATAAACTCACACTAAAAAATCCTTTGACACAACTTTGAATTTCAGTCTTCACTGCACCAGGATGTAAACTAACCACCGTCACTCCACTATTTTGCAATCGCTCACTCAACTCAACTGCGTGCATCGCATTTGCTAGTTTCGACTGACTGTAGGCCTTCAGTTCACTGTATTCACCCTCGGGAAGCTGCAAATCTGGTTTACTCAATCGAACGGCATAGTGTGCCATGTAGGAAACATTAATTATTCTTGATGGAGCTGATCGCTTCAACAGTGGTAACAACAATTCTGTCAACAGGAAATGTCCTAAACGATTAACTCCTATGGTCATTTCGAAGCCATCAACTGTCTTCTCGTATTTACCGACAATTAGACCAGCATTATTGATTAGAATGTCCAACTCGGTATACTTGGAGTTTATTCGATCAGCGAACTGTCTGACTGAATCCAGAGAGGCCAAATCAAGTTGTTCAATAATCAACTAAATAACAGATACAAAGTGGGTAGTGGGAAAGAAGGTTAAACTACTTACATTATATTATTAGGTACTTAACTGAAGTAGAACTAACAAGTACAAAATAAATCCTCCGAGTTAGGTGGTTTATAATTACAAAGCTTTCATTGTCTACCTTGACAACGTCATCCGTGCTGACTTTGAAATGAAGCTGTTTTCTGGAAAGGTAGTGAAAACCTCGCAATTATACAACCCGACCTTATCAGAAACATATAACTGTGCTGCAAATCTCCATCACAGAGAAAATTCTCATTTAGAGAAAAGCAGTGAGCGAAGAAATACTTACTTTTCAATTAGATCCTCATTTCTGGCTCTATTCTAATGTGTAGAGCATTTTAATATTTTTGATTACAGCTTGATTCCACACAGTATTTTCGGTACAAGTAAGAAATTTCCAGTATGTGACATCGGTAGCCCAAATTCTGCAGGTTGACCATTGATATCAGGTATGCGTCGGCAGGGGGTCAAACCCCGGACCATGTACATGGTCGGCGAGAGTCCTAACCGCTGTGCTACCGTCGCAGCAATTAGTTAATATCAACATGTCACTAGGTGTGATAATTAGCCAAGAAGATTAATACAAACAATTTACGAGTAGAAGTGATTACAACAAGTGGATTGCACCAAGTCAGTGTGGCAACAACGCCTAAAATACCTTTGTTCATAACACTACAGTTCCTCGGGGATAACAGCAGAGAAATAGTAACACACTGCCAGAAGAAGTCAGTTAAAAGTAAAATTCACTTCACTAGGGGTACTCTGTCTCTTCACAACCACTCTGAATTTATATCCGAGATATAATGACAAACTGCCTTATTTCTCGCCCTCTCTGTGTATCTACCAGACTGATTGCAGCCGCAGAGCTGATTTGGAAAACATATTTATCGTTACATATAAATTAATAAAACAAACCTACAAACATTGGATCACACCATGATGTATTTCTAAAATTTTATGTAGCTTAGGTTTACTGATTCCACAATATTGTTTACAGGAAGGTAGCAGAAGAGAGGACAATGGTGAAAGAAAAGATGACGGAATGCTAAAATGGACAACAAAAGGAGAAGCTAAGTTCAGTGCACATCTCACTGAAAAAAGAAGCAAAGAAGAATAGTAGGAAAGTAATAGTGATAAAAGACAGTTCCACGACACACTAGCAGTTCAAGCAGAACAGGAAGGCCACAGGTAAGAACGGACTTCAGAACACTACATCAGATAACCAGGTCTCTATCCGGGAAGAGATTAACACAAACAAAACCATTAAAGCCATTTGTTCAACGGTACCTAATTACCAGGGAGGCGAGACAAATAAAACAGTAGACTGATCACTTCAAAGGACTCTTGAATCGACCATCACCTGCAAATCGCTAATAAGCTCCACGAAAATCAAGCACAAAACTGCCTGTCAGTGGACACCAATCCTCCAACAAAGACAGTAGTTTCGATACGATTAGGCTGCTGAAGTTCGGAGGGTGGTGGTAGCAGGACCGGACGGACGCACTGAAAGTTCACTCAGAGACTGTGGCAGATATGCTGAGGCCATAATTGCAAACGGTCTGGGAAGAAGGAAACGTACCTACCGATTGAAAGAAAAGCTGGCTACCTTGTGAAGCTGCCAAAAAAGGATGACTTCGGCCTGTGAAAGAACTGGTGTGGAATAATGCTCTTGTCCACACCAAGTAAAATACTAAGTCGCTTCATCTTGGAGAGAATAAAAGATGCACTCAATGCAGAACTCCGCCATCCTCATTGGAGTGAGCTGAATTTAGAAAAGGCAAATCATGTGCTGATCAAATTGAAACTCTACGCATCGTAATCATCATCACAGAACAAAGTATAGAATGGAGATCAAATTTTTCTCTACCTCAACAACTCCATCGACTCCGGAAAGGCCTTCACTAGGCAGCGTTGACCGAGAAGTAGTTTGGAAACTGCTTCAAAACTACGACGTGCAGTGCCCAAATCTTTAACAATCTCATTCAACAGCTGGCTAAATGACAATGCCACGTCCCAGGTGATCCACAACGGGAAACTCAGTGAAGCTTATGAATTGATTACAGGAGTAAGACAAAGCTGACAACTATCACTGATGATATTCCTGATCGTTGTGTACTGGATTATGCTGGAGTCTGTGTGTCGTGAGGGAGAAGAAAGGAATATGTTGGACCGATATGAGGACTCTAGGATATCTAAACTTTGCAGACGATTTGCGTCTAATCTCATATGAATTCTAAAACTTACGGGTGGAAGCCAGCAAACTAGCTGAAAAGGTAGATGGCCAAAACAGTACTCAAGGTGAATGTGGGAAAGAGGAGGGTGATGAAGATATCCACCCACCAACAGTTACTATCAACGGGAGAGATTTGAAAGAGATTACTTCCTTCACTTATTTAGGAAGCATCGTTTTAATTACATGAGGTGGCATGGAAAAAGCTGGCCAAACCTGAATGGGAATGGCGAACGCTGAAATCAGCCTGGGAATCTTCTGTACTCAGCATAAAGAACAGGATTTCGGTTTTAAACACCGATGTCAAGTCATTTGGTCTTTTTAAATGGGTAGGAAACTTGCCTGGCGCGTCGTGAAATGCTTTTTAACAGGTTACTGCTGACTTTTATCAACAGCTGCCTTCGCTAGCTCCATATTGAAGGTCAAATGGCCAGGAAGAATAAGCAACTAGGAACTCTTGGAACGAGTCAACCAAGAACCTACTGTTCAACAAATATGACGAGGAAAATGAAGACAGATTGGACACATGTTGAGTATTCCGTTGAGTTACATCTCACACCTGACCATTGCTCGAGTGGAACCCAAATGGAAAAGGACGAATAGAGCATCCAAGAGTGACATGGAGGAGACATACGGAGAGGGGATCAGACACCATGAGCAATCCTGGGGTCAGCTAAATAGAACTTCAGGACGATATGTATATGTGTTGCTGAAGCGCAATCTTCCACTTGGAACACAAGGGAACCAAATTAATAAGAATAAATTAGTAACGCACAATTAGAAATAACTCTCAGGATGTATTCCCCTTAATTATTATGACATTTTATATTTGAAACTACCACGGCAATATAAAATATACATCATGTAATGAGCAAGGACGAGTTTGAAAATTCTATTTACTAGAATATGAAATTTGACTCAAAAATGTTTGAGTCAGTATGAAGGGAATGTGGATCTAGGATGCACATATAGGAAGAAACTTACTTTATTCCAAGTGATGCCAAAGCATAGACATTGATATTCTGCATAAGTATCAAGGAACAATTACAAAATATTATTATACCACCTATTTTATGACTTCATAAAATTTTTTTATCGGTTTTTGTACAGGACTCGTCACTATGTCATTTCGTCAATCTCTAGGCAATAATCACACCTCTGGTAAATTCATTAATTTGTTGTATGATACTTGAACCGAACAACTGGGATGTAAATCCACTTGGTAAGGTGTTTTAAGAGTTTATACTATTATTAATTTGTGGATATTGAAAGTAAAACCAGAACCGCTGATTCACATTATAGTATTAACGATAACAAGACACAAGAATATGTCTTCTAAGTCAACAATAATTGAATTTTCAAGTCTCATTAAGAAGTAACTTTAAATTAAAAATCACTGAAAGCCATAGAGCACTGGGCAGCTGTTGCACCCCATTTTAAGACTTTTCAACAGTACGCACTCGTAGTTTCATCATGGATGGAAGCCAGGACCCTTAGGCTGCAAGGAAAGCTCATTGACCATTTGTCCACTCCTACCTGGAGTACACCCTGGTTTTTAATTGTCCTCTAACTGAATTCAGCTCGTGATCAGAAGTGGAATCAATGAAATCCCCGCAACATTTGAAAAAACAATTATGGTGGTAAAAACTGGTATTAAAATGCATGCCATAAAAAATTATAAATAAATTACGAATCGGATTTTCGGATTTATTACTTTGGCTTCTTTAATCTGTTTCTCATGGGTAGAAATGCATTATGATTATGACAACATTACATTGCACAAACTCTGTCACTAACAGGCTATAATCACTGATTCTGTATATCCTGAGAACCTCAAATGAGCAGTCAATATGACCTCAGTAACAAACAAAATGAACTATTGTCGTGTTTTGACTTAACAGTCTAGCCATTGCTGTACTCATGACGTATGGCAACTGCTGGAGATGTGTAAAACATATCACAGCCACTTAATTCCATGAAGTTTCATAGGCTAATACATTGAACCGTCCTCTTGATTCACCAATTACAGATCTATCCTGAGCAAGCAACATAAATAAACTACTTGTGGGCTTTTATATCCGGCGTTTTCAGAACGCGAAGCAAAGGAGATTCCTATGAAGTACGCTCTACTTTATTCAGATATCCAACTCCGTAACTGAGGCAAACTGACCATTTTGTTCATTCTAAAGTTTTAACGACAACCAGTACCGACACTCTAGGTATCACTGGACGGTTTTATATGTTTAAACTGTCATATATTAATTGACAAAAAAACAAAAATTTAATAACCATTTTGTGACTTCATTCACCCAATCGAGCTGCTTTTACGATTCCTATTTAACATTACTGTTGTGCCATCTGACATCAGGAAAATGAAACCCATAGTTATCAATACTTAAAGATCAAATATTAAGCACTAAAAAAACACTCGTCTTATTTCCCATGTGATTGTAATTGATCAATAACACTCGTATTATTGTATACTTTATTTCACTTATTTTATACTTATATCAAATATTAAGCATTAGTACAAAATAAATTCAAAAATGATGTTAGTTTTTGTACGAAACTGCAAACAATCGGGGAGAAAATATGAGTGTTTCAGATATAGTCATGACATATGCTGTCTATTAACTCTTCCCACCAAAATGAAAATTACAACGGAGTTAAAAAAACATAACTATGACAAGTAATTATTATTATCATTATCTAAAACTTTATGGTATGCTCACTTGATCATTTTTAATTGGACTCAATGACTGAGTCACGTCTTTACACGCTATATCAATATTCACGCTGTCTGGATTGTTAACACCATATTTCTCCAACAGTTGTTTTCTCACGCCTTCAGCTTTCGATAAATTCCTGCATGCCATGATTACCTTAGCACCACGACGGGCTAATTCACCAGCTGTAATCAAACCAATTCCTGCACTAGATCCAGTGACAATAGCCAACTTTCCATCTAATCTTTTTGATATGCAACATGATTTTGTCCATATTCCAGTAGTTTCAGACATACAATAAAGTTAATAAATTTTAAGGAATAGTATATATATACATATATATATCATCAAATAAGTAGGTTAAATATAGTCAATAAAATACATTCAATCAATCGAATCTTAGTGAATTAAAATTTGTTTATTAGTGGTCAGAGAAAATAATGTTTTGTTATAAACTCACCAACACATACGTTCACTTTAGAAGGGTAACTTGAAACCTTTTCACAAATGAATGAATAGAGCAACTTCTGAACTCTAGTACTACACATTCACAATCCCCATTTATGGGTAAATAGATAATAAAAATGTGGCGTAAAATCAACTTTTCGTCAGATAATCTAGGGATGATAATAATAATAATATTAAACTAAGGTTTATCAAAACCACTAAATTTCTGCGTCATAAATATGTCTTATTAAACACCCACTTTGGTATTTCGTTAGTATTCGTCTTCATACTATAAGTATATGTGAGGAAACATTATCGTTCTCCAATGTTGTTCTTTTCTTATGTATATTATCCCAATTAGGTTTTTAAAATGAGTTCACTTACTCCAGTCATACAAAACAAATCTTTGCATGGATTTGTACAATAAGATTGTTCGAAATCCAGCATTCAGGTGAAGTCTTTCATCTTATCTTTGTTGAAATGTATAAACACTGCCTCCAAATAAGATTTTCTGATAACAACTAGTTATGTAGAAGTTAAATGATGGATAGTGACTTGCAGTGGAACCAAGGATGCTCATTTCGTCCTATTTGGGACTCGTCATCTGGACGTACCTGCATTCCCCAGTGAGTGATCATTTTCTCACCGAGGTTTGAACCCAGTGCCCATAGTTTCAAAAGTCAAAGCGTTATCCGCTAGACCTCTTGGACCACGAGAGGCATCTCTTGTGCAACGGGTCATATTAATTTAATTGAATTTTAGATTTTCCCATCGATTGATTGACACATCAGCTGCTTGTGCAGATGCTTCGACGCTGCCTGAGCAAATAATTAGGAGTTAACTGTTGGATGGTGACTAGCAATGGAATCCAGGATGCGCACTGCCCAGACATCGTCGAAGCATCTGCACAAGACGCTGACATGTCAACCTGAGACCGAGCACTTCGGTCCAATCAATCGATGGGAAATTCTAAATTTGAATTTAACAACTAGCTATGTAATTCAAGAACGCTGATTTTTATGTCTTCTTCCATTCCTTTACGTTCCAAGCTTGAGCTCTGAAAATTCAGTAGCAATGGTATTTTTTACTGGGTGAGATAGCCAATCTCACGCCGAAAATTCCATCTTTTCACGAATTACTATCGGCTAATAAACTAGATGGAGTTTAGGAGCACGTTGGCTGTAAATCGAACCCAAACCACACACACACATGGTCGGCGAGCATTCTGCACTTGAACCACTGACTTGTATTTTGTTGTCTGCTCCTCGGTAGTAAAATAAGCGGAAAGCATTTTCCGAAATATGTTAAAAACTGTTCAGCATCTGGATCGAATTTAGAAGGTGCGAAAACAAAAATTTAAAACCTTAAGAGTTTTCAGAAGATGAATTTATTTTTATAGAATAATATGTGAATTCGAAAATAAAACTTCGGTAGTGTCACCTTTCGAACTGCAAAGAGGAGCACCGGTTCAATCAGAAGTGCCATTATTGAACATCTGATCAACACTTCCCACAACATCTCAACTGATTCATTCAAAGTAGTTTACAAAGTCAACAGAAACCTGCCAAAAGCAGTGTGTTTCCGACTTCTTTGTACTGCAGAAGCCCTCACAATATGCATCGAAAAGCTGGAGCTGTGTGTTCAAAAGAAATTAGTCCAACCTCAACAACTACCATCGACCTAGTTCGGTATGTTCCCTTAGCTTCCGTTTTTTTTCTTTCGTTCTTTTTTGATCTTTTTTTCGTTCACTGTGTGCGTGATTCTTACTCCCTTTGTCTTTATTCAACCCACCCCACTTTTCAGTTATAAGAACAGTTATTTTAAGTGTGTTTCCATGCTTTTCCTGCTCCCATTTATAATTCGTTTAAAATAACTATTTTACAATAATATCCTATTCCTGTGTAATTTTTGTTTCTAAGGCTCTTGTAATCTATATTCGCACCTCCTAAAGCCCGTTTCGCATCGGTGGCATAGCAGTTAGGACGCTCGCCGACCATGCACATGGTCCCGGGTTAGATCCCCGGCCGACGCACTCCTTTACCTCGCTAAGCCAGAAATAATGCTAGTGAAGAGGAAAGGTTGGACATGAGGCTAGCGACCCCATCCTATAAAATAAACACTGCTACAGACACTTCAAGCCACCATCTTGAAGCCCTGTGTTCCACTGGGGAATGTGGAGGAAAACAAAAAAACCTCCGTTTCAAGTTGAAAATTATTATTTCTATTTTGTGTCATTTTTTACACACTTGTAATTCGTTCTAATCCTGTGTTAATTTTGTTTCTAAGCCTCTCGTAAACCATATCCAGATGAAAATAATTGTCACCTTTTAAATTGGTCTTCGTAATTATGTGGAATCACACAAGAATTGTATCTATGTAAAATTATGTATTTAAATGTGATTGTACAGCTTTAGAAAATGAAATCGCTGGAAAGATATCTGTGCTGAACTTCGTGTTCTCCTCTTTCTAATGACCTTTCGAACTGTTGACCTTCTAATTGTTTACTGGACCACAATAATAAGTTGTTGTTTTTTCTGTGATTTACATTCACATCAGTTTACCTGACAGATACCAACACAGATAGTCCGATAATTAATGCACCATTTTACTTATTCTCTCTAATTTAGTAAAACTTCACTTGGGATACGTGAATGCAGTTTTGAAGTCATTGTGATGAATGAACAATTATCTATCATACATCGAACCGACCAGTGAATGAAATCTAGTATGATTTCAGTAAGATGAATTAATGAGTCTCATAATGCGATTAAACGGTTTATTATAAATAATATTGCGAAAATGATTTCCACTTTCCATTATAATTTCATGCTTTAACATTCGTTTTCTAAACTAAAGCTACCTAAGATAAGGACTTACTAAAATCCAATGAAAACCACTCCCAGATTGTTTTATGAATGAATGAATTGACCATATTTATGATAGTAAACTGAACTCGTAAGATCAACATAAACATGATATGCAGAAGACTAATAATGAAGTTTTAATATATGATTGAGTAATTATTTTCAATGGCAGAGTTTTCACATGAATCATACCCACTTTCAGTGAAATAGTTAAAAGTACTGCATGAAGACCTAAATAATTCCCTAACTGGAACATTCGGCACAACAGGGGTTAGAATTTTCTTATCCAAACATACAGTAGACCATGCGAAGAGGAAATGAAATCTTGCGAGCAGTCTTGCCGGCAGCTGAAATTTATGGAAGGGAACTCAGTTTAATTGAGATGTACCACTGAATCCCTGTGTTCCACTGGGGACACAAAGATAAACGAATAATAATAACAAAATCAGTTGATGATGAGTTGAATTTCATCAGCTTCGATTCTCAAGTCTGACTACGCCTCCTCAGTTGAGTAGATTTGTCGTACTATTCACTAACATAATAAATTTGCTTATACACACCACTGAATGTGATCTCTGGAATATAAAAAAGAGGAAGGCTGTATCATCAAGCGTCTCCAATAATCTTGATGTATATTTCTCAAAAAATATCATTCTTCATTAAGATGGAAAAAACGATTTGAAAGGGAATAAGAATAAGATATTTACGTACGGCCAATAAATATCAGTCCACTAGGTATCTAAGAAGAAAAATTCAAAAACAACATCTTTAGTGGAAACTTCAATAGTCTCTTGGTATTTCTGGCCTTCTTTCATTTAGTTAGCTAACACATTTGTCTCAGTTTGTGAGGTCTCTTGAACCTGATCATGTACTGCGTGAAAATTCTCTGATTACACTTCCACAGTAATATTTTGACTTTCATCTACAACTAGAAATCCATCTCGGATTCTCTTACCCCAGATAAATGTGAAATTATAGAAATAAATCAGATGAAATAAATAGCACTCATCACATCAAAATCATTGTATTTTGTTACGTGTTTATTCATTTGTGAAATTTAACAGTTTCAACTTAGATTTGTATAGATGCTTAAAATCGGTGAACTGAGATAAATACAGAGGATCAATAAAATCCTTTGAAAAGACGAAATATAATTGTGAGGGGTTCTTTTGAGCAATTTCATCAATAAATGCAAATACACCATGATGTCAGCAGTGTTAAGACATGTTTGCAGTAAAGTGAACTGGTTGTTTTTTTCTCTAAATATGTAATTCACACTGTGACACTTTACTTTTCCCGCCTACTAAATCACAGGGAGACGTGACTGAGCAATGTGATTCATATTTATAATTCTTCAGAATTTAGACTAATAGACAAAGGCTAAATGCGACTGAGGTACAATTTTTTAGCACACAGTTGCTTGTAAAAATCTATTGGAAACGTGGGTGTAAAGTACCGTAAAACTAAGAAACTGTGTGCTTTTAAACATATATAGTATCCTTTAGTCTCTAAGATTTGAAAATATCCTTTGGGTGAGTGGGGATATTATAGTGTATGACATTACACAATATAATATTGTCATAACTTCATAAAGTCACTTTGTTATAATTTTCGACTTATATAGGTCAACTATGACGCCGATTGGCATATCTTTCATTCTTATTATTCTGTATTAATTTTTTGTATAAAATACTTCAATAATTACAATGTTCCTCATCAAACAAATCTGTTATCTTTTAAGTAATAATCTCACTTCATATATTTTCAGTTTGAACTCTTATTTCCGGTTATTGAATAGTCAACAAAAATGCTGTGAATATAACGAGTAGTTCATCTTACATATGACTCTTTATTATACATTCCAAGTAAGAATTTCCACACAGGCTGAAAGCAAATAAAGAAACATTTAAAACCAAGGAGCTGTTTCGTTCTAGCTTCGGACTCATCAACACCCTACAGTGAGGACGCCACCAGGAATTGGACCTATGAATCGTAACTTAC